ACGTTACAGCGGTTATTTTGCTTTTGATAGTTTTGCAGTATCTTTGCCTACAAGTTTTTAAATGCCCACATTTACTGGAATTACCTTCCCTGGCCAAATAAAATCACTCCTTATTAAAGAGGAAAAGCAAAGACAAGTTCTGTCACAACCTGTCCACGCTCCCTAGCGCACTGGGGTCAGTCTAACGCCAAGAAAGAAATACGACTCTCTTTTTCACTGAGATCTCACTAATATCTTTAGTAAACCCATCAATATCTTTGAGTAAGCTCTCCAAAAAAAAAATCAAGTATTTTGTGAAGAAACATGTCTTTTAGTATCAACAATCCTTTAAAGGGTGAAAGAAAAAAATTAGCATTTTGAATTTTACACCCCTTCTTTCCATCACCCAAGAATGAGTAAGGTAAAAACCAAAGTCTGACCTTAATTTAATCATAAATAATACATAATGTGTTATGGCAGAGTAGCAATCTTGAATGCGAATTTGCTTTCTGTTGCCTGCCCGCTTCTGCCCTTACATCTCAGTGTAATTTAACTTGATCGTTTTCTCTACAAGCTCAAGTCACTTAAAACCATCCTTCACAGCAACAAATACATCCCCATAAACATTAAGTATCCAGCCCTATTACTTTTGATGTGACTACCTGCAAACGTGTATGGTTTTTTTCCCCCCCGATGGTGTAACGTTCACAGCCTCAGAGCAGCACGATGCGCTGCCATCACCGACCAGCAACCGAACCAGAAAAATCATTTCACTTAACTCCGCAAATGGTATTTGGTGCTACCAGCGACATTTAGCTTAAAAGCAGAAGGCAGTAGGGATACTGTCAAACACAGACAAATTCTAAACCCGTCAAGCAAAAGCAACTCATTTAAGGAGTGAATTTAAGCACAAATTCCAAAAGCACACAGGCAAGTTCTTTCAGAACTATTTACTTGGATTAAATAGAGAGCAAGACAGACCCGTGATGCGAAGTTGCTCTGCAACGGGCGCTGGAAGAACACTTTTTCCCCCTCACAGTGTAATTTGAACACTGCGAAATGAGAAAGCGAGGTGTATCTTGGAACTGAAATGGCAGCTGATTGGAAATCAGAACGACCAGCAGCCTGCATTTCAGTTACCCTAACGCTGAATATGGTCCTAATGAAAGCAATTATTTTACCCGCCGTTAAAATGTTCTCCCCACTTCAGCTCAGAGCGCGCTGTACAGCCCAGCCACAGTGCCGCAATATCTGTAAGAAATCTCTGCGTGCTAAAGCCATTATGAATTTTTTCTGCTACCCACAAAGCCAGACAGCAGGTTGAAACACATCATAACTTGTCTTAACAACACAGCCGAACCGGTTTCAGCTAAAGGCTCTTAATTTGGTGGTGGGGGGGTTGTTTTTGTTTGGTTGTTTTTTTTTTTTAAATATTTACCTAAGGACTATAGGTATATCACAAAAAAGACACTTTTTTTGCCCCCCCCAGATCTAAAGAAAGGAATAGAAGTGGTATAACTAACTTTTCTCTCCAGGGCCCAGATGGAACTGAATTAGTTTTGGCTCTGGAATCCCCAGTTGTAAGCGTCCTGACACAACAACTGCAACTAACAGCAGGTGCTTTTATTAGATGGCAACCCATTTATAAAATGCAGTATTGCTTCAAAAACTCAATTAAAAAAAAAAAAAAAGGAATTGAGTCAAATTACTGAAGTCAGAGTAAAAGAAAGGGTTCAGAGCTTTACTTCTACTTGGAAAGTTCTTTGCCCCTCCCGGGGAGCCGTGCCTGCAGTACTGCCTCCGGAAGGCTACAGGACAGCCTCCAAATCTTTCTGCAGCTTCTCTGCCATACAAGGAGAAAGGGAAGCACGAGCGCCAGCCCCTGCACCCGCAGGGCTCGCCTTCGAGGAAGGGTAACATCCAAAGCAGCTCAAATCCCCTCTGCGAAACCCTTCTGCAATCACGGAGCGCACTGACAGCAAACGTCTAAGTTACTCACAGCACTTCTCAGATTAGACTTAATTCAGGAGTTGGCATAACGGGTGACTGTAACATACAAAGACAACTGAAAGTAGGGAAAAAAATGAAAGTGACATCAAGCTTGCTAAATATGTATTGTTTATTAAGGCTTGTATTCTCCTAGAGGAAAAAGTTAATCTGATGCTGTCCATTACCCCTTACAGGCAGTAACAGTCCAGAGACAAGAGTTATACGTTCTAAATACAAGTCTAAATGATACAGATTAAACTTTATTTAAATTGGAGGTCCTTTTGGAGTAAATAGTATTCAGAACATACTTGCTTTCTAATATAATAAAAGATCCTCTACAATAAACACGTGCAGATTCAGTGTGCTAGAGCAGCGGACATGAGCACCATTTCCATGCTTAATTGGAACTCCAGTTGGTGACAGGTTCTCCGACGGTCCCCTCACTCCACAAAAACATGACATCAAATTCAGTTTCTTAAAACAGGTTTTTTTACTCATCCAACAGAAAAAAAATTAGACATACACACTGTCAATTTTAAACATCTGAGGCATAATCCATCATATTATCCGTACTATTAGTTCCTACGTTAAAGCTCAGCATTATTGGTATAAAAACTTTAAATGGCATTAGGATTTGGGGGGTTGGGAGGGAGTAATGAAGGGAAGGATTAAAAATGATCTGCAATTAACTAATAACACCTGAAAGCTGAAACAGGTTTAAACACATTGTCCAAAACCCCTGCAATGTTGATAGCATCACATTATTATTTAATTAAGCTACAAAAACCGTAAAGCAGAATTATGGCTGAGAGAAAGCATCTCGCTCACCCTCGGCAGGATATGGTATAACAAATGCACACTGAAGCACTGGTTAACAGAATGTGAAAGGGAAGTATTTTCCAGAGAAACAATTTCACCGACAATTTGATTTTCTACTAGACAGAAAAAACCAACATGGCGCATTAGCAATTTTAAAAGTGTAATTGTACAGATAAATAAAGAGGCATAGCAGCTGCACAAAGTGATCAGAAATTTAGGGTTTTTTTCATTTCAGAATTCTGAAGTGCAGTATCTTAAAAGTTTTTTAAATGACAAAAATCAATGCATGGTTTCTTACTTCCGCCATGAAGAAAAAGGGTTTGGGAGGAGGATAAAGGAAGATTTGTGATGTATTCTCCATAATCTCTGTATCTGGCTAGGAACGTAATTTGTGCCAAAAGAAAGTCTTTGGGAAGCATTGACACTTTAGTATGCTCACATATAGGTCCACATTAGGTTAATATAACTGTTTACCAACTTAAAAAAATAAAAACAGACACGCCTTTATTAATGATTTCTACAGAATTTTACATAGAAAAAAAGATACAAATTAATGCAGATCCACTTGGGCAAAAATAAACTACAATGTACTTAAAAGATGCGACAACTTAATTTCCCCTGCACGAGAAGATATATCGGAGCTGAAAGCTTTAGTTTGTCCTGATGCCAGGATACAGCACCAGTATACTTAAATTTTGTTTCTCATAGTCGAATTTAATATCAGTTCTAGTATATATATCAAACTGTATATGTTTATTCTTATTGTTTGTTTCGATTCTGACGTTCCTGCAAAGAGAAAAAAGTTAGAAGTTAAGAAAGTTTTTAGTCAAATGAACAAGCAAAAAAGTTTGTAGTAACATAACAGCACTAACGTGATCCCAATTACGTACTTGGTTAAAACACTGCCGCTACATTTTATAAACATATTGTTGTCCTGGTTTCAGCCGGGATAGAGTTAACTTGCTGCTTAGTCGCTGGCTGCGGTTAAACCACCACAACTGTATATACCCGACAAGCCCAAGGACTTGATGACTTAATATTTAAGTGCAGCTTGTAAGCGGAACAGCTGAATGAATACCCGCACAGTCACGTCACACCGATGGCAGATGAAGGTCGTAACAAGACAGGGATGGAATATCAACATTCCCAAGCACAAACGGGACCTGCAGTATTCTACTTTCTGGATTATTTCAGCTACTGCAGTAGCAGCACAACCAATACCAGAGCAGAAAGGAGACTGTAGATTTGTGAGCTCCACAGAACCGGTATAATTTTGAAGCACTTCAGAGTTTAGTCATACTCAATAAAAGTAGGATTTGAGCTCCCTAGAAATTCTGTTCTTAATTCTCCCTATCTGTTCAGCTATTCTGGGAGGCACTGCGAAACACTTGACAAGTCAGGGGAAAAAACCAAAACAAACCATTACTGGGTGGAAGAAAAGTTAGATGCTTTTGCATGGTCTGATAAAAACCAGCACGCCTTGACTGAACAACCCACGAATTTCTGAAGGTATTCTAGTACAGAAGCCAGTGGGCTCTTTGAAGTCTCTCTCAAAAGTTTCTGCTAACCACAACTCCTGAAAAGAGACAATCTATGGGATACCTGCAGCATCCCTCAGTCGCTGTAAGCGTTCACCTAACCAGCTCGTGCTCTCCCAGCAGTAAATAGCCATGCCTCCGCTCCGCTCCAGAGCAGAGGCTCTGCGCAGGGCTGGCACAGGCAAGTTGAGCAACGCAACAACAAAAAAAGGGGAACACACACAACTTTTTCAATAATTGTTTCAAGTGCCCCCTAAGTTGCAGAACACACAGAAGAGAGCAAGACCAAGTTGAATAAAATACGCTGCTGTATCTTCAGGCCAGTGTGTTTTTCCAGCTATGCCACCATGCAGCTTGACTAGAAAGGGTTCAGCCTCACTATCTCCCATTCCATCCGAATGGGGTTTCAAACAGACTGTACGCTGCAAAATGGGCATGTAGAAGCTCTACTTTGTGCACTGTACTTGCATGTATCAATATGGCACCAAATCCTATTTCGTGCAAGAAAACTGTGAAACAGAATCATAGAATCATAGAATGTTTTGGGTTGGAAGGGACCCCTAGAGGTCATCTAGTCCAACCCCCCTGCAGGAGCAGGGACACCTTTAACCAGATCAGGTTGCTCAGAGCCCCATCCAACCTGGCCTTGAATGCTTCCAGGGATGGGGCCTCCACCACCTCTCTGGGCAACCTGTTCCAGGGTTTCACCACCCTCATTGTAAAGAATTTCTTCCTTATATCTCGTCTAAAGTACAAACAACAGTCAACTCCTAAACTAACGCCTTCAGATTTTACTTGTTTTGTGGGATCTTTCTGTGCAAAATTCATCTCAGAATTGTTTCTGTTGCAAGGTAAAGCTAATTTGCAAATATAGCAAACATTATAAATGTAACAGACTGTATTTGCTACTTCAGCTGGTCACAGCATAAAATCAGAAGAGGTTTTCTTAAATGGAATATATTGATTTCTGCCTCCAGGCAGAATAATATTAGTATTTCCATTTTTTATAATAAAATTAAATCAACAAAGTCCAGTGTAAATTCTTAATCTATGATTTAAGACAGAAGATAGCAAAACTGTCTTACCAAATCAACAAAACAGACTGCATAAAGTGGTATAATTAAGAAAAAAAAATCTATTTCTCCCTATCTTTTAACTGCTGACTACGATGAACTGGCAATGGAAGTAATTTCTTAGTGGTAGAGTATCAGAACATATTAGGTGTTCTTAATGTTCTTAATTAGGTGTTCTTAACAGTTCTTAATGAAAAGCACCTATGGCTGCTTGACATTTCAAACCAAAGGTGGTTAGAAAGAATCTGAAATGGAATCATATCAACCCCATTTGCAGGCTTCCGGAAAAGTTAACCGTTCCATCCTACTTCCATTCCTAAGGTGACAAATCCCCTTTACTGCGCTTCACTGCCCAACCATGCTCACCAGCCCATTCTTTCCCATTGCCCCCTTACACAAGTTATTTTTAGTTTTCTATATAGTCACCCACTGACCCTCATAATCCCACGTTTCTTTAAAAGTCAAAGCCTTCCATTCTCATGGACGAGTCCCATATAAACAGAAGACAGGCTAGCATCTGAAACTTCGACCTGGGACCTCAAAAGTATGCTCGCGGCATTCAGAGACTCAGCTCCGGCTTTACAATTCAGTGAGAAGAGCTACTTATTAAGCAGGTTATTAAGCAGTTCCTCCTACCTTGCTGCTTGCTTTCTCTTTCCAGGGCTAATCTGAGTCTTCCTTTTAAAAGTGTCTGAAACCATATAAACTGATGGGGAGGAAACAGATGCAAAAATACTCATGCTCTTGAGCATGGTGGCTTTTTAGAAGCGTTACCTCTCCAATTCTCTCCCTTACTGTCATTTAACACTACTGCAAGCAAGAACACACAGTTTTCTTAGCAACTAACAAAGCTTTGTTTATTTTGGTTCTGAAGATCCATTGGAAGCCTTCATAGTTTCTCTTCTCCAGGGGAATTCTCCAATATCTCACAGGGGAGCTCCTGTTGCATACTTCTTCATGACATTAATACATACAGTCTTCAGACACAGGAAAAACAGGTTGGCACAAAACCTGCAGAAGCTTCCATTTTGGAGACAATGATCCCTGTCAAACTCCTGTTGCCTTCATCACAGCCTGCAGTAGCTGTCAACCTTCCTACTAAACTTCATTTGTTAAGGTCAGTGGGATGAAAGCATTCATCTTCTGACACAAAAATATAAATGTTAATTTTACATCAGGAAACACGATTATTATAGCTAACATTTTGCAGTATTTAGTCACGCAAAAGGAGAAGCGGTAAGCTTGGCAATTTAAGAGCTTTCCAAGACTGCTCAGGTCTTCCAGCACAACATCAAGGCGCAGACCTTGGAATAGCTGAGTGCCTTGACACGCATCAGAGGTGACAGCACAGCAGTCCAGTCCAGTCACTCCGACCATCTAGTTAAATACAGATCTATGAAGACAAACTGCTGCCAGTAGATCAACCCATCTGTCCTACCACGAGATGCAAATAAAAATACCAAAACCTGCAACAAGTTTATTTTCTTTTTAACTTCAGATTACAACTTTCTTAAGACTATGCAAGCATGTTTCTAGGGAACGTTAACAATTAATGCCACATTATACTGTATTTTCTTTTTAAATAAGTTCTCTCACGTTTCCATTTTTTTACATTTTGAGAGCATGAGCTTTGATCACAGAAGTTGCTCTTTGTGGACACTGTAGTGGCCCTGGAAACTGACTGAGAAATGCTAGGAGGGTCAGGAGATATTTCATTCCAGATACCAAATATCCTTTTATTACTCCCTTCCCTGGTTCTGGGTCACCAGACTGGGCTTAAACAGTTTATTACTATGGCAAATCAAGAGCTGGACTTGCATCCCAGCATGAACAAATGCTCCCTCAATTCTAGATGATGATAATAGTCCTTAAGCAATGCTGGTAACACTGATGAATCTTTGGCACTTGAGCGAATTTCATCCAGCATTATACCTGCCTAATCCACATTTGATGATTTGGTGTTAACGCGGAGGTTCCTAGATCAGTTAAACTCAGAGAGCACAGGCTGGAGCTTCCTCTGCCCACATCCGTTACGGGAACACTGGCTAGCAACAAACTGCGACCATCTGAAGGAAAGAACTGAAATGCCAGTGGCTTGCGTTGTACAGATTACATGAAGTTATTCTTGCCTACTACATATTTGTGTATAAATGAAATTCAAGCATGCAAGCCCTCCACATGGAGATTTTTTTTTTACGAATTCTGTCCCTTAGTAATCACAACAGCAGTGAAATGGAAGCACAATTTCATTAAGTAATTTCACTGCTAACAGAATATAACAAATAAAAAACACAGCAACTTGAAAACCAATTAAGATGGCATATATACAAACAGCCATCTGAAAATGTCAATTAGGTCATAAGATACCTTAACTGATGATACGATTCTTCAAAAATTGTTGTCATAGGAAGGTTAACTTCGCATAACAGGAAGGCTTCAATAGCACAAAATTCTCAACAAGAAATGTAATTGTATACATATCCCACAAAGAAACTCTTCTAGTCATCAGCTGGACTTCTAAAATTCATTTAGTCAATGAAGGGGAAAATATTAACTTTCCAGACAATAGTTTTATAGAATGCAACCCGACAAGCAGTATCTTATTTTTCATTCCCTCACCACTGAACTGCTTTACCTCTCCAGCACTATTACCTTCCTCAGTGTATTTCAATTGTCTGTATATTGTCCTATTTTCTAAGCAATTTGGAGGAATCTAAGAAATGTTAAATTAGACTTCAGAGTTTATTTTCTGAATGCGTCATACAAGCTAGAGCCTCAGCTTTAAATGAGGCAGAAAAAAACGCATTATTTTGAAAGAGTGATCCTGTTCTAAAGCAGTGACCTGGGTAAGAATATTGTATCAGCACTTGAACTGAAGTGGGAAATAGTTGTGTATATGAAAGCAACCCAAAGTGGGATCAGCTCAAGAGTTGCACAGCAGCCCCCTAAGCTACTACAAAGCAAAGGAAACTCAAGCCTTCAGTACGCAGCCATCTGGATCTTCCTCAGGCCAAGAAGTCAACTGTTCAAGACTACTAGATCTCCTATCACTTTCCCAGTACTCTCACTCCTCAAACACACACGTTATTCTCCCCTCCAGACCTGGCAGCAAATCACAGGGAGACTCAGTGTTAAAAAACCCAAACCAATCACCCCCCCATACATCGTAAAAGCTGGGACAAAGAAACCAGGCCTTTTGACTTATTCATGATTCTCTCCTACATAAGGAAACAACCTCTCCAAGACACAGGTTGCATTAAATATCACATTGCTAATTGTCTACTGAAGGAACAAAGCGTTGAAGTAAAGGCTTTTAGGTTTTAGCTTGTGGAACCCCACAGGGAGTACACAAGAAAAATTTCAAATCGTAAGCTCTCCTTCCCTGCTGAGTTGAGGTACACTGTGCAGATCGTATCTGATAGCTAGGAAAAGCCGAGCTAAAAAGAAGGCCTTAAGACGCTGATCTCCTTTTCTCTCATAATTTAAGGGTACATTCTACAAAGACAGACTAAAGCAATTTTATCCACACTTTTAAATAGCAATAAAACCCTTAAAATGGCAACTTCAATTTAAGCTCCAGGATCATGCATTAAGTCTTTGCTTCAAAAACATTTTGAAGCAAATGTCAACTGCACTAAACTAGCCTCTCAAATAAACGCTGCATTTGAAATGCTATACAAAAAACCCCACCACCTATGAAACACTATAGATAGCAAGCAACTTTAAATATTACTTAGCTAGCAAGTACAGGTCCCAACACTTATTATTTGGTCAATCCATTACTTCTAGACTGCCTAATTAGAGAAGGGCAGTTTTGGAACTGAGGTCATGGGATGGATAGGGACAGAAGTCTCTTGCGGTAGGCTTAGAGGTATGAAAACGTATGTAAGTTTTTACTACACCTTCCCAGTTCTCTGCCTAAATTTCTCTTACTACATCTTCACTCAAAATTTGTTTTCAAGAATTAGTAGACAGATTGGACCTGGGAACTGAAAACCTTTATTTACCCAAATAATAACACATGTGACTTCAGCAGCAGAAATGCAATCTTTCTAGCACTATTCCAGCAATTTTATGCATCTCTTTCTTTTCCAGAGAGATCAACTGAACAAACAAGATCAAGCTTCTTGCTCTTAAAGGTGACATACAAATTTTAAATGCTAACACAGGTATCAATTTTGATAGCCCAGTTCCAGTCAAACAGTGTTAAAACACCTCATATTTATAAGGCAAAAAACTTAAGTGGCAATCATTGGCAGAATCCAATTCTGAAACAAGCAGTTTCCTAGTTTATTAGCAATTTTAAGAGAAAAAAATAAATCAAACTCCAAAAAAACCAGACATATTGTCCTTTACCTGCATTATTGCTTAGCTTTCTGCTATGAAATTGTCACAGACAAATAAGCATCAGTTTGTTTTCTGTGTTGCTAAACACACATAAAACTATCAAGTTGAGATGTATTAAAAACATTTCAAATTCCTACTTACATTTTTTCCACCATAGCAGCCTTCACATTTCATTTTCCCCATATCTGTGTATAAAATAAATTTTTTAATAAGTTTACCTTCCGCACCACCTCCTCCTCTTCTTGGCGCTTTTCATAATGAGAAAAGTCATCAAAGATGGAGGTCGTGTGCTTGTAAGTAGCAATAATTTTAAGCACTTGTTTTGCTTTTTCTAAGGGCACCTCCTGTGTATCACGGGAGTTTGTAACGGGTTTGTTGTCATTGTTCTCCAGCCTGATGTGTCGGAGCTGGTTGTTGGGCACATCCTTCACAAAGATCCACTTGACATCAAATTTCCCCTTCCACTTGTCCTGAGACCAGACACCTGCACTGGTGCCATAGTCCACGGGCGATTTCATCTCTGCTACTCCACAGAAGTGTCCACTGCCATTGACACTGAACAGCAAGTAGACTGGACCCTTGCTGTTCATGGACCGGAAAGCACTGTCCAGGCGTTTGTTGCCATGTTCCGTACTACACCAAATAGAATACTTAATGGAACGATGAATATCATCCTCAGAATAGCTCTTTATTATGAACACACGTCCATTTTTAAGGTTCCATTCAAAATCTTTAGGGTTATAGCTGTGAGCAGCTTTCAGTTTTTCAAGAACAGGATGGGACTCGCCACTTGGAACAGGGTTAGGCTGGGTACTGCCAGCTGAGTTGCTGTCGTTACCAGTTCCTCCGCTTTGGCCAAAAGCTGCGTTTCTGTTGCGAGGAGCTACCCAGCGATTTTGGGGTGGCTGCTGAGGAGTCTGATACTGCGGCTGAGTCAATGGAGGAGGTTGAGTTGGAACAGGCTGAACGATTTGTTGCTGTGGCTGCGGGACAGACTGAGGAGAAGGTATCTGTTGGGGGGCAGGAACTTTTGCCACGGGACCCTTATTGTCCCAAGTACCTATGTCCATATTATGCTTTATAGGCGGAGGAGGCAACGCTCCTCCAATTACAGGTCCAGTTTTTGTTTTCATTTTGGGCTGTGGTTTCGCAGGCTTGCTAGCTATAGCAGCCCAAGAAGTTGGTTTAGATACTGGCAAGTTTACATTAGATCCACCATTACCAGAGAGGGCACCTGTCATCCCGGCACTGCTGACAACAGAACCTACTGTTTTCACCGCAGAAGTTGTAACATCTCCACCAATCTTAAGTCCAACCATTCCCTGTTCGATACTGTTCATTCCAGGAGCTTTATTTAATGTATCATTATGAAATCCTGTTTGTCCATCCACAATGGTACCGCCCAGTGAACTAGGCGGGTAGCTGTAACTGCTCCCATATGCTGAACTTTGAGTCTGCTGTCCCTGGGATCCGCTTGTTCCCCAAGCTGAGAAGGCAGGGTTTTCAGGGAAAAAGTTAAACCGATGTTGATAGATATTATTTCCCAGACCCCCAGGCTGTCCAAAAACAGCATCGTGCATAAAATGATGATCTCCGTTACTGAGCTGTCCATAGGTGGTGAGATACGGGATAGGAGGATCTCCTCCTGTAGACCATGGTGCTTCACTGAGAGAATAGGGGAACCCAATAGATGGTGGATAATAACTGGACAGATAAGGATCAGTCATTGATGGATAGCTACTGTTCTGTTAAAGAGGGAAAAAAAAAAAGGTAACTTTAGATAGAAACCCCCCCTTCATTTATAAATAGCCACTGTTCATCACCAAACAGAAAAAACAACAGAGACAAGGTAATTTAATTTCTCATTACAGATCTTGGTTCACACTCCAAGAAAGACTCAGGGCTAAAATACAGTATCTGGGTATTTATAATACACCCAGGACTAGTGGCTCACAACGAGGCTAGTACTTGAGATTCTGAAACCATGTAAGCTTATTTACATTACTAAGGGTATTTTGTGGCTTCTTCTAGAATCAGGCAATCTACCAATACCCCATAATATTTCAAGGAACTTACATAACGACATATTTTGTGTCTCACAGAACTAAGGATATTTAGTATTTCTGGATCACTACGTGGGAGAAGTTTTAGGTGAAATTAAGTTAATAGGACAGGACATGTAACAGAAAGCATGATTACAGTCCTCATCACGGAATTTTTTTTGAGGGGCCAGCCCCCAACAGGCAAAACATACCTGAAGTGGTAAAACACGCAAAGGCTACTTCTGACATAGACAGGACCACAGTGAGATCACACGCTAAGCAGCACACCAAGTTTGCTGTAAGTAGACCCAACAACTACAAACTGAAATTAAGGTGACCGGTACACTGGAGACAATGGTATGCAAATATAACGTGATGTATGCCATCCAAACTGCTTGAGAAAGACCCTATTCAGCCTTTTGCAAAAGTCTCTTCCTCCCTCGGTAGTAAAGTTACAAGTGTGGAAGACTGTTTCTGACTGTCCTTCCAAACAGGCCATCTTTTTCACTCTGAAATAAGAGACTGACTGGTTATAAACCAGCAGACACCCTTTGAAATTCTAGCTTTTCCTCCCTTTCAACTGCTTCTTAGACCAAGCTGAGAACCTTTCCTTCCACTCTACATCTTCCACTGACACCGGATTTTGAAGCATTCTGTATGTTTCTCATACTCAGCAATGCAAAAGAACAAATACAGAATATTCTAAAATAGGTTTTATTCATCTTTAAATAAACTTGAAGCATATATTGGAGACCTTCCAAATTGACACTCTTAACTGTAATTACCAGCAAGGAGGGGGGAAGTCAACACCTCCTGTTAATGAGTCAAACAGAGCTAGCCTTTCCTTACTCATGGAGAAAGATTATTTTGCAAAGAGAAACAAAGATTTCTTTCAAACTGCAAGATTTCAAGCTTAAAAAAAAAATAATCTGAAAAACCATCAAAACTGCACTGGAACTCCAGTCATTTTTCCAAACATCAGATTATTTCTCAGCTCATTCCAAAAATGACGTAAAAAAACCTCGTTGCTGAAGATAAGCATAATGCCCAACTGAGAAGTCATTTGTATTGCTCATTTTTCAGTGACTCCCTTCCACGACACCCCAAAGCCAAAGTAATTCAATACCCTCACTTTCCACATACAGAACAAAATTATAAAACGCCTCCAAGACTTATATTCAGTACCGCAACCATTTCTGAGATTTAAACAGCCTACATCCAGTGTTATTGATTCAAAAGAAATAATCTCTGCCACTGTTCATGCTGCCTTTATTTACGGGCAAATTCCGTCATTAACAAGAGGTACACAATCCACCCTCCTACGAGAAAACCTTCTAAAATTTTCTGAGATTCCTAAGCTAAAATAATCAATATTTAGCGTATGAAAACATTTTTCCGAAAGACTTTGAGATTGCTGTTTTATATTTCAAAGCGTTAACATTAAGAAAAATGTAAAAACAAATGCAGCCCAAAGGGAGGAGACAAACAGTTCTTCGGAGATTCTTAAGTTCATATAGTCTACAGAGTTAGAATTTATTACAATCAGAAAGAGTAAGCTTAGAGAATGCAGATGTTTTGCCCTAAAATATTTCTGCTAAAGGTTTCTAGACAATTCCTGAGACTGTCACCTCCTGTCACACAGCCTGTAAAGTTTCCACAAGGATTCTAACAAGATTAAAGGAAAGTTTCGGCAGACTTCCTCACAGAACATTCAATCTGTTTTGACTGGCTTTATGCCAGAGTGTGTAAAAGAAACCCTGACAGAAGTCCTTCACTGCAACAGCAGTACATTTAATTCAACAAACTTATCCTTGACCTTCCTGCATCCTTCTGTATTTTTTAATTAAAACAAAAACCAACAAACCAAAACTCAGCCGTTCTGTTAATTAGGAAGGGAGTCCTTTCTCCCAAAGCATGCTGCTTGCTAGTAATTCGCTGTTACTTATGAATAATCTTTTGGTTCAGGAGAGCATTACGTGGGGGATGCCTTCCCTGCTTGGAGTATAACTTTGTATACGAATACTCCACTCAGTTCCCTTTAAAAGTATTTTTAGTGTGCTTTACAACAAAAAGCTATTAAATCTCAAATTTGATCTGTATTAACTACTGCTACTTGGATACTAGAACCTTTATGGAAAGAAAAGAAGGCACTACTGCTTAGCAGCAGTTTTCAACAGAAGGAAGGAAGACATAATTTTATCACAAAACATACCCAGTACTCATTTTAAAGACTAATTTGTATTTTAAAAATATGGAATTAGCACAATATCACCAACCTACATTTGATCTTTGACGTGAAATATATTGTATCAGACTGGGTTTTAATTTCTTAAAGTATTTTAAAATATCCAGTTGGTTTCAAATCTTTTTTTATAAGTCACTTATATTTTACAGTAATTTTAAAGGGCTGAATAAATCTGACTAACTAGGTAACAAGGCTTTGTTCAGAAACATGGTTGTCTTCAGAACAAAATCTCCCAGTCCTAATTAATGCTACTGTCACTTTCCACTTAAAATTGTAAGACGACCTACACAATTGTTTCTTGTAGCATGCCAATTTCTTACTGCAGCATAAATAAATCAGTCAATGGAGCTACACTTTCATCTAAGAAAACTTTATTAGAATTATGGAAATTCTAGCAGTCATAGCAATTTTTCCATTTAAACCTAATAATTGGGCTTGTTGACAGCCAAGACAAATGTCCTAGAATTAAACTGTAATAGATGGTTCTACATTTATTCTATAGGAATTCTAATGTTCCATACATTTCACATTAGAAAAACATATCTTGGTTTTAAGTAATTAAAATTACATACAAATGTGATGATGTAGAATTTAAAAAAAAAATTGAGAAAGGTAAAAACCTCCATTTTTTTTCAAACTAATTTTGCATGAAAGAAAATTTCACTACTTTTTTCCCCACAAATTTCCTGCTTTTATCCCTGCTACAGTACATTAATTCCAGAGAGTTCCCATTAAACCATTTTAGCTTTGTGTAAGCCTGGAGAACACGTCTATGCTAGAGAGTGACTATGAAGCTTGGGAGCGGGAACCTACACAGTGCAGAGCTCAGAAGACAATTCACATTGTCATCTATACACTTGTCCCAACTTCCACAGTGGTACGTCTTGATAGCTTCCAGGAGGGAAACAAGATCAAGTATATCTATACTGTGCTAAACTTTGCACCCTTCCCAAAAGCTGCCATCACCCAAACAGCTCCATCTGACTGCCCTAACAAAAATGTTGAGCACACCTTGAAGACAGCCAATACACAGTACATGAATTGACACTGCTTGTTCTAGTGTTCAAGATTAAATCACAATTTCCACAAATGAAACAGAACAGCATATTAGATGTTATTTTTCTTTAGCATGTAGAATAATTTTCTTTCGCAAGCAAGTTCAGTGATGTCACCAATATTAACAGTGGCATCTATCAGCTTCAGGCTGAATTATAAATTTCCCTTTTAAAACATAACACTTAGCCTTTCTGCCAAGTTTCTCTCTGAAACGGTATTTTATATTTGTGAAAGAAAACTTTTTGCATCTCCAGTTTCTATACATTCTGTTCGCTTTAAAGATTTGAATGTTAAGTCAAAATTACTTCAATTAAGAGATATTTTCAGCTATAATAGGATTTGTCTTGGATGTTGATTTAACATACGTTATCATGAATTGGATTATATTCAGAGCTTACATTACATTGCCCTACTCGTTTTAAAATAACATGTTCTTAATTTTTAAGATATTTTAGAGTACATGAAAGAACAACAATATTTGCTGAAGAGTAAAAAGCAAGTGGGACAGCTCTACAAGCTACCTAGAAAGCATCGAAACCAGGTTTCAACTACACTAATTTCTAGGACTATACAAATTATACTCATCAGGAAAGCCCAAAAGCAGAGCCTTCCAACTCCCACATGCAACTCTTCCATCGAAGAGCTGTAAGATCACATTGTCACAGCCCAACTGTACCAATAACCTGCAATTTCAGGAGCAATCGGCAGACTCTAGTTGGAGCACTAACTTCATTTTCACTCGTGGCCATCTGGATACGCAGAGTAATATTAGTTTTGTGAGCACAAATGCTAATTCTATTCCCAAATAACACAATATGCTAGTCATTTATTTTTCCATTTCTATTTAAGGAATTTGCTCCCTCAACACAATCCTCTGAATTGAGTACCAACAGCACGTCTAAGAAAAAAGCTAAGTTAAAAATACACTAACCTGATTTGACTGCCCAGAAAGGTAAGGTTCAAAATCGTTGTCATGAACTGTATCCTTTTGATGTAACGAACCATTTTGTACTAGAAGAAAAAGGTTAAAACATATTATAATACTGCTTAGCAGCATTTCAATAAAGAGTTCCATTCTACGTTATTTTATGAAAAGCCATACTACTCCTTCACAGCATAAAGACTCATAAAGAGACCAAGGGATGACATTTTTCCCCCAAATGATTTCTCTTTATATTATTGCTTATAAAACTAAATTTGAGTAAATTCTAAAATAATAAAAAAAATATTCCACAGTCAAGAGTGACTAGACAACTCCTGTGAATCACCTCTGAACAAAAAAATAATTACTAACAAGAATTTTGTGAAAAAATATTGGAAGACAACATCTATTGTTCTGGTCCATAATTAGAACTCTCAGAAATTCATTCACAGTTCTCCCAGCATGTGTTATTCACTGCTTGCTCAAGTTAAGTTGGCTAAAATAAGATGAGGTGAGGTTACATTTAGTTATGAAGTAACGACTGCTAAGTGCCTTGATATCTTGACATTTTCAAGAAAACTGAAGTCACAATTTTCTCATGTGTAGAAGAGAGATACCTGCCATAATCAAAGGCCTACTTAAGCATAAATCATGTGTGAAAAGCATGCAAAACCCATTCCTGAAAGATACACAAAACCACACCTGTTACTAGGTCACTTCAAATAATTTTGTTTGCTTTAAATTTAAGAAAACACAATCAAACACATTATGTGACAGTTGCTTTGTTTACCTATTTCATAGAAAAGCTAAACTTAACTAAACATAAAGCTCCACCAAATAGGATGTTTAGCAAACAAGTTTGGAAATTTACCTGAATATGTCTGCAAAGTTTGTCAGGGAGAGTAGAGGTAAGAGAGTGTTTACAAACACAGGAAATAGTGTCAAACTTTCTGTAACTAGAAGTAGCTGGATTTTTACAGCAGGTTAAGTTGCATTAAAAAGCAGTTATGAGTTGAATATTGTTAGTTTCTAAGCCTGAACAGTTACACACTTATTAGCAATCACAGTAATAATCAAGGTGTTTTCTTAGATGACTTGTTATTAAATTTAATTTCAAATGAAGCACAGGAGTTACCATAAAAAGCTAATTACCTCATCAGAAGGCAACTACTTTTAATTTGAAATTCCTTAAATAATTAGGCTTGTAGGCATATGTATGACAGGTAGAACATCTATCAGTCAACAGCAGACCAGTAACACAACTGTACTCATGCAGCAGGAAGAGATTATGCAAAAGTATGTAAAAATATGTATTGAATACGCATATCCTTGTGACTTTATGCAGAAATCTACTTTAAGGAAATTAAGAGCATTACTATGTTTAGTATTAACAGTTAGTCCTTCCCACTGTAAACTCAGTAGCATTAAGTGGGATGCAAGCAAGACTGTACGAATAACAGTTTGTGTTATTTTTGAAACACAGCAGTACTTCCTTTGTTCCAGGTGTTATCCATACAGACTAAGAGCAATACCTTTCTGCTCACCTACAGGTACCTGCATAATTCATCTGTTACAGTAACAACTGAAACACCCAGATCTCAACATGATCCTCACCTTTATTATCCTGTCCTTTCGGTCTCTGGGAAGCCACGGCACACGATGGGGTAAAGGAAAAGGACGAAGTAAAAAAAAAAAAAAAAAAAAAAAGAGGGGAAATAAAAAAGTTATTTTTAGAAAAACGCTCGTTTTGTCACTGCAAAACACACAGCTTTTGAGGAGGGATAAGAGGCTCATAAAAAGGGCTAACAACTTATCAGGGCTCGCCTAAACTGGGGTTGAGGAGCGTGTTTCACGGATCATTCAACACCGGCCTTCCGCAGAAATGGCCACGGCTCTCCAACGGCCGCGGGAACGCGGCTGTGCCCACGGGGGAAGTTAACGAGAAAGACTGAGCCCCAAAGAAGCC